CGCACCCTCTTGAAATACTTGGTTACCAGGTGTTTACTCCAGTGGCACCCGGAACAAACTACGTTTTGTTTCTGGCTGGCTGAGACATGTGTCCTATTGTTGTTTAACAACAATAAACTTCTTCTTCTCTAATTTTCTTTGACCGCTTTGGGCGTGGGGAAGATATAAGTTCCTGCTTTGTGCTCTTCTGGTTGCTTCGACCATAGACACATCGTGGTGCTGTAGAGTTTCTCTGATGTTATCATCCCATCTTGTTCTTGGTCTACGTCCCTATCTTTTCGTATATGCCTTGTATGGTATAGCATCAGAAGGCATTCGCTCCAAGTGACAAAACCATTTGATTTGTTGTCTTTGTATGTATTTAGAATTGGTTCTGTGTGTACCTAATCTCGTATGACCTCATTGCTGATTTTATTTCTTCTGGTCACTCCTACAATTTTTCTCAGACACCTCGTTTCCACGCCTGTGTGCGTGTGTGTGTGTGTTTGTGCGTGCGTACGTGTGTGTGTATGTGGGGGGGGGGGGTGTATGGAGCAGATGGATGGGCGGTTGGATGGATGGATGGAGGTAGGAGGGTGGGTAGATAAATAGGTAGGTAAGTATTGAGGTAGGCAGGCACCTACTTGATTAATTGGTTTACCTTACACTTAGTGAATGAAAAGCATGTAAAGCGACATTTGTGTACATCCTCCTATTGTTGTTTTCCCATTTGTTGTTTATCCACGGCATCTCTTAATCATCACCAGATTATCGTGTTTTAATTTTGAATGTTGAATTAGAAACCAAGAGCGCCAGAGAGACAAGCAAGGATGCCTGCGAGCCTGTATGTATGTATGCATACGTGCATGCATGCCTGTTGGTGTGCGTTTGTGTACGTGTGGATGTAAGTATGCGATATGAGTGTATACAGAATGATTTTAATTCTTGGAAAACGGCTAGCAAATGTCCACAATAAAAGTTACCTGCGGGGATCTTTAACATTCTTTATTCTTGTCCTAACCTTTTACTGTTGTGTAGTTAATAATAGCCAGCGCCAGTTGGAGAACCACCAAAGATATGGAACAAAAGTTAAATGCATTTGAAAATAAATGTCTCAGAAAAATCATGAACATGAAATGGAATACATTTAAAAAAAGAGTGAGGGGATCAGAGATATGTCTAAAAAAATACCCCTATCGATTGCAATAGGACAAAGACAGTGGATATATACTGGGCAAGTATCGCATCAGATGTCCCGGGTAGTTAGCGACCGTTTCATATTGTATCCTGTCATGCAAGAGCTTTGGGAAATAAACGGGCAGACCGATTGATTGCTTCTGCACCAACGGATGGTGAATTTATGCATAACAAGCTAGATATGATCAAGACCTTTTGGGAACAAGTCAACAATGCAGAGGCAGGAATAGATCGTTATGGTATGGAGAGAATGGTACAGCTGGGAGTGACCCGGGGATCTTGTCGACACTCTGTACTCAGATGAAAGACAAGACGGATATATGTTCAGTCGCTACTGGGACCTTCAGAAATGGAACTCTTTGCCGGCTGTTGAAGGTGCTTTGCTAGAAAATGACTCCTGCGGTGCTGATGCGATCAAAGAAGACAAACCCAAATACTGTCCCGACCGGCGACGAAGACCCTTAACGGTGAGCCAATTGGCGATCCGGTCGCCGAAGAGTCGCGGGCTGTTGAATGTGAAGGCAGAGTTCTTATTGGAATGCTCCGTAAGCTGTGATGTCAGTTCTTAGTTCAACACTGCGTGAGACTTTAGTCTCTTTGATAGTGCAACATTTCGTGCCACTGTCTGAAAGCCGATAGAGCTGTTTTTAAACCACCACTTGCAGAAATCGAACCCTAGTACTCAAGTATTCTAAAACATTACCTTTATGCCACAGTGCCGCGCCAAACCATCAATACATTTGTTATTTCATCTTTTATCGTAGTTATGTGGGATGCAATTTTTCGTTTTTTGAAGCCCCACCCTTGCTTTTTGCCGGGAGTCCTGAATATAGCCAGGTCATAATTATGGCCTAACGGCTGAAAGGTTTTTCTGGAACCTCTCCACAGGTGATCCTCATCCGCATGGTGGCACTTAGTGTCACCGGGTGTTTATCGCTTGTGTGATGTCCTGGGGGGGGGGGGTGTGTACAACAAGAGAAAGAAAGAGAGAGAGAGAGAGAGAGAGAGAGAGAGAGAGAGAGAGAGAGAGAGAGAGAGAGAGAGAATCTTTTATCGTGCTCCGTTTAGCAAGAAGATGAAAGTAATATTTGTATGTGTAGTATTCGATGGCACTAATTCGTTGCCACGGAGCCGCACAAATCCGTTACCTAGTAAATAGGTCGTTTATTTTTTCATCGAATTTTTACTTAGCGAGAAGAGTTGAATCAGACAAAGTATGTAAATAGGAAAGTCATTAGGTTTGAGGTCGACTGCAACTGAACAATGCTAAATGGAAAGATTAGTACGAAATCGGATCTTTGTTTGCATTATAATTTAAAAAAAAAAATGACTTGCTAAAAATAAACAACCCTTTCTTCAACCAGTAGGTAAGTCACAATAAAATGAATCACTCTTAAAGAATGTTACATGCGTACCCGTTGCAGGATGTTGCTGAATCAACCTGAGCGCAGATACTTCATGTCTCTAAAACAAAGCTCCTTACTCTTCTCAGGTTTATTTATTCACACAATATTATTAGTCTGCGGTGACAGTAACCCCAGGTTTGAAGTTTGAGGTTTGAGGTTTGAACAACGGATCAACATCACAGCACACGGGTAGTAACCCTTAAGTGCTTCGTTCTTCTTACTAACTCAAGTCTGAGTCCGAAGAAACTCAGCACAGTGCACAGGCTCTGTAGCACCGGCAATGATTCTAAAATACTTTGGGTAGATTTTTAACTCCACATTTTTGCCCGGGGAGCGCCGTTAGGCTACTCTTTTCGATTTTCCAATTGCCAATGGATTTTTTTAAGTGTGCAAAAATGCACGCGGGCGTCCGATCTCACCACCCAGAGACCAGGGAGAATTACTAGAAGTCTAAATCCACGTGAACAGATCCCAGCTCTTACTGGGGATTGAGCCCGGAACCTCTAGCACTTACGGCTGACACTATGCCCCGAGACCACGCAGCCCCCTCCAGTAACCCGAGAACTCGCGTAATGTTCCAGATGTAATAAGAAGCCATGGCATAGAGATACTTGTGACAGACACAAATTAACCATCAGGACATGTTAAAAAATAATTACTGAAGTGAAACTGCTGCCTGAAGATTTAACATTAAAGATACACAACCCACCACCTCACCCCACCCCGGCGGGCTGCAACCTTAAAAACATTTTGCCACCTGCGATTACAAAATCTCAACCTGGATGGCAGATGAACAGGACAGATCGTAGATACCCTTCATTCAAACTCAAAAAGTTAGCTATACCTAGGGCATCCGTAATTGCTACATTATTATGGTGTAACATGCAATCCTGTGCAGGTAAGGAATTATCCACTGAACCTCATGAGAAGATCAGAATGAAGAATGGATAGAGACACAAGCATGCGACTAGCAAATGTAAGTCAAAACTGGGACAACTAACACAACTTTTGACGCACTGGCCAAACTTTGTCTACCAAAGCAAATCTAATAACTACTGTGCATTTTTTTGGGGGGGGGGGGGGGGGGGGTTAATATTTACTTTTTTTCTACTAACAGTGTCCAGTATAGACCATTATTACAACTAGTCGGTGCAAAATTATGGGATCTCCCTGGCAAAGTGGTCAAGTCGTTTGCCTCGAACTCTGAAGGTGGTGGGTTCTTTGCAATGCTACGACGTTCAGTTCACGAGTGCTATTTTTACTGAGATCCCCTGGGAAACGTCGCCGGCGCTACGGAGTTCGTGCTCTGTGTGGCACTCTCGACAGGCGGCTAGTCGTTCTGCGGAGAGAGACCGAGCCATATGAGATATAATCGGGTGCAATGAAATCGACCCTCTCGACTTTCAACCTTTTAACTTTATGTGTCTTAGATGAGCTGCCAGAAAACTACGAAAAGATCAGATTTCAAAGTGAATAAATTAGAAAAAGACTACTAGTGAAACCATAAATAGTTGCAGGTCAAATGGTTTGGTCATCTGACGAGAATGCGCTGGTCCAAACTGCCCCAGAAAGCAACGCTGAAGAAATAGTAAGCAAAAAATGAAACGACAGCAAAAATAACAGTCCCAGCGGAATGATCTTTGCAACGCGTTAGGTATTTAAAAAAAAAAGCAAAAAAAAGAAAATCCTTACAATCCAGCAACTCAATGAGATAACTGGGGGTGAAAAAAAAAGAAAAAGCAGAAGGAGGAGGAGGAGGAGGAGGAGGAGAAGAAGAAGATGAAGAAGAAGAAGAAGAAGAAGAAGAAGCAGAAGAAGAAGAAGAAGAAGAAGAAGAAGAAGAAGAAGAAGAAGAAGAAGACGAAGAAGACAAAGAAGACAATGATAGAAGAAGAAGAAGAAGAAGAAGAAGACAAAGAAGACGAAGACGAAGACGAAGAAGAAGACGAAGACGAAGAATAAGAAAAAGATAAAGAAGAAGACACTCAATGGAACATATTCCAGTACCCATTTTAACGTTATGAATTGGTTATAACTGGGGACTATGTGGCACACCAAGTACTAGCTTAAAATGTATACCGCTATCCAAGATGGGCAAAATGGTTTTATACAACTGTTGACATCCGTACACAGTTACGTAACTTAGTATATGTGAGGCCCAACATACACACATTTCTGTGACAATATCTGACGTAAGTACATAAGTATTTTATTTCACGTATACATGTCTTTTTGTGTTTCAGCTAGTTTCAGCCACGAAGCAACAAGGCTATAAATCTTGTACAACTACACACAACAGCTTTCCTGGTGTTTCTGTTACTGATAACAGTGACCCGCTGACCCATTTTGCTAAGCTGCGTGTGGTCTGATCAATATCTGTAGTGACCTGTTAATAGTAAAAGCTGAGTACTCCTGAACATGGGGGTTATATCCATCATCGGAAAGATCGTCTTGGTTCTTGTCAACATTTTGATACTGGTACGTGCGTATTCATTCATTTAAAAAAAAAAAATGCAGGTTATTTGTCAGTATCAAGAAATATCCAAATATGTGGATTCTTTGTATAAGCCAGATCATTTTCATACATAACTGCATACATCAAGTATATGTCTACACACATACACGCTGAAACCGGGGTGCTCAGCCCTTTTAGCTCCCTCCCTAAAACATCAGCAAGTGGGAAAATAAGGGAGGGGGGAGGGAGGGGGTAGGGGGCTCCTCAGTTGTAGCTCTTATTCCACCACCAGAAAATTGGTAAGTGAGCTAAATAACCCCCCCCCCCCCCCACCTCCCCCTTTCCGAGCAAGTGTTAATACTTTTCATATTATTTGAAATTTATCATATATATATATATATATATATATATATATATATATATATATATATATATATATATATATATATATATATATATATATATATATATATACACACATTTAAACAAGGTCTGGGGCCTTAGGTCTTCCACCTTTCCTCCCCCAGAAAATGTATATATCTGCGCTGAGCGCCCTCCCCATATAGTCTATATCCCCATTGCAATTTTTCATTTTTTTGAAGGTCTGGGGCCTTAGGTCTTCCACCTTTCCTCCCCCAGATAATGTATAAATCTGCGCTGAGCGCCCTTTCCAAATAGTCTATATCCCCATTGCAATTTTTCATTTTTTTGAAGCCCCACACTGGCTCTTTCCTTTATATAACCCAACCTATTAGTTCAACAGGGTTTCTGGGACCTCTCCACAGGGGATCCTCATCTGCATGGTGACACTTTGTGTCACCTGGTGTTTATCATTTGGTGTGATGTCCTAGTGAGATGAAACATGAAATAATCAATAAAATCCCCCTCCCTATATCTTTGTGTGCCTGTACACACATAAACACGCACACATACACACAAACATACACACGTCTATCGAGTTCTTCTAAACTCTTTGATGATACTAGTGGAAGATAAATAAAGCAGCCTGTGCACACTGCACACACTTAAACTTGCTGGAGTTTAAATTTTTGTTTAAAGATGCTGACTGAAAAATAATAGCAGTCCAGAAAAGTATGCATGTTTCATAGCTTACAAGAAGGTCTTTGACAGGGTGCAGCGTGAAAAACTTATTGCATGCCTCCATAATATAACATTAGATGGAAAGGATATCAGAATTATTAGTAACCTAAACTTGGAACATATAGCTGTGGGTCCTGGACAATTGGTAGGCAGGCCAAACAATTTCTTGAGGCCTCAAAGATGTGGTTTTACAGAAGAATGCTCAAAATACCTTGGACAGCTTAAAAACACACACACACACACACACACACAAAACAAGAGGTTTTGAAAGAAGCAGGAGCCCGAAGACAACTTATCACAGACATCAGAAGGAGACAGTCATCATTTTTCGGCTATGTTATGAGAAGAGAAAATATGGAACGTGTTGTGACCACTGGAAACATCTGTGGAAGGAGGGATAGAGGAAGACAGCAAGAGAAGATTCCTGACAGTCTTGTTGTATGGCATGGAGGTGTGTCAGCATACGAACTAATACATGCTGCAGGAGATCGCAGATTGTGGCGAGGCATAATCGCCCACGCCAGTCGGCAAGGCACCTGATGATACTGGGAACAAACGGCAACAGTTAGACACAACAACATGGCCTCAACACAGATAGAAATAAAAAGACATCAGGGATGTGTGTTATTTCCAAGCTTTTCAACTGATATATAAGGAAAACGTGTTTAAAAATGGTGAGGAAACGCCTGGACTGAATATTAATGGCAGAACAATAAACAGTCTGAGATAAGCAGATGACACAGTGCTACTAGCAGACAGCGAGCAGGAGAACTAATAGATCAAGTTATCAGGCGGAGTGCAGAGTATGGTTTAGATATTAATATTCAAAAAACAAGAAACTATAGTAATAAACAATGGAAAAAAGTGGCCAACAGTGACCTTCACAGTAAACAGAGAGCTATTAGAACAAATAAGTTTTTCCTATTTAGGACAGTTAGTAAAAGTTGATGAAAGAAGCGAAACAGAAATAAAAAAAGCAAATATGAATAGCTATAAGAGGCACAAATTACTTATAGCTAGAGATAAACAACATACTAAAAATGAGAATCATCAAATTTTATGTATACTCAGTCCTGCTATATGGTGTAGAAACCTGGACAATGAACAAGGAACTAGAAAATTGAATTAAGTCTCTGTAGATGTGGGTATACAGAAGAATAGGTTGTATTTCATGGAAACAAAAACAGTCCCAATACAGAAATTCTGGAAAAGCTACAAATGAAAATAAAATTACTGAATAAATAAAAAAAAAGAGACAATTAAAATACTTTAGCCACATTAAAAGAATAACACGCTTTAAAAAATTATTTGGAGGGAAAGTTTAAAGGCAAGAGGTGGGCAGTGTTACAAGGGGGAGGACACAATCAAGAGATGAGAGGGCAGCAGTCTGAGAAAATGTACAACCAGGACAAGTGACAGAATTTATTGAAGATCCATTGCAGCCAACCTTTACTGTGGAGATGGTACCTGACTGACTGATTGATTAGACACATAGACAATTGATAGTGTAAAACATAACACAATATTTACTGCAGCTTTAATAAGAGAAAGCAGCTCCAAGCAGTGGACAAATATAATGAGAATGTTTATATTAATAGACACAGCACAAATATCTTTTGTTTTCAGGATGATAATAAGGAGGAAGAAGAAAAGAAAGAACATGAAAAGGAAAGAGGGAAACAAGCTGAAGGGGCTGTTGTGGGTGGGGGGGGGGGGAATAAGAAGAAGGATAAACGAGAGGGAGGAGTAAATAAAAAGATGAAAAGGAAGGAAGTAAGGGAGGAATCAATGGAAGATGATGGAAGGGAGAGAGGATGGCGGCTACACAGTGATTAGGGATAGAAAAAGGGAGAAAGGAGGAGGAGGTGAACTCGGTACACATCAAAATCATATTTTAAAAAAGGAAGTAAATGTGGCCAGTATCATGTTGATCACATCACTAATCAAGGGGCTGATTAGTATATAGAAGTCCATCTAGAAGTGTATGCACAATGCAGCATAAACATTTTTTCTTTTTTCTTATCTCTTGATTTGATTAGTCAGGTAATTTGATACCACCTCCAGTAGGAAAAAGCTCAGGTCCTTATAGTAATCTATTTGCTGGACTTGGAACACATATTAATCAAACTCCAGTATATCTTCTTCTTCTTTCCTCTACTCCTGAAATACCCTGCAGCATCATATATATAGCAGTCAAATTCTACACTGTTTCATGGTGATTGAAACATGACATAATTCACAAATTTAATTACTGTGTGCACATAATTGATTCAAAAAGTCTACAGTCATTAGGCATACACAGTATACATACAACATGCTTAAAATATTTGGTAGTTTGGATGTGATTTATAAGGTGATCCCAGAGATGAGCTGTGGGATGGGGTGGCTGCAGTACACATGTCACCCCCCCCCCCCCCCCCCATTACTGGGATGCAGAGATGCATCACCACGTAAAGGTGAGGAGATTGACTTTATTGCACTGGGTTGTTATTTTATGTGGCTCAGTCTCTCCGCAGAACAGCTAGCTGCCTGCCGAGAGCACCGCAGAGAGCACAAACTCCGTAGCTCTGGTGACAATCCCCAGGGATCTCCATAAAAATTGCACGAGAGCTGAACTGCCGTGCCGTGAAACAAACCCATGACCTTCAGAGCACGAGGCAAATGGCTTGACCATGTCGCCACAGAGACCCCCACATATGGTTGTGCACAGGTCAAGGTCTGTCTACAATGTTCTGTGGTCATTCAAGAAACAGTTCCCGACCATGGGCCTGACCAACAAAGATAGGATTGAAGTTTTGTTGTGAATTTGAGCACATCTTGCTGAAAGGTGTAGAACTTACAGTCTGAAAACAAAATAAGCCCAGTCTGTAAAACAGATAGGCATTGCAACACTCAAGCCCTAGAAGAAGAGCAAAGTTCAGACATGGATGAACAACCAGAACATTTTGTTAGCTAGCAAATGTAGATGATAAAGAAGAGGAAGAAAACCCTATTATTTATAAACATAAATACATAAGGTAAGCTGATAATGAAACACAGAACCCTGTGTTTTACTTGTATATTTTATTTAGCTACTAAAATTAATAATTTTCCACATGTTGATCTAATCACTTTCTTTACAAACAAAAAGACATTGTGGTCAATTTACAATTACTATACTAATAATTACATGGAAATATGTAATTATATTCCTGTGTATTTTAGCTAAAAGAATGCATTGGCATTCCAGCGTTTAAAAAGTATGCATCTAATAAGATTTAGCTATACAGCGCAGACCTGATAAGATTAACCCACCAGGAACACAAGAAATTGTTCTTCTTATCTGAAATTCCTCTGATCAAAATAGTTCAAGCAAGAGAAATGGCAGAGAATGAACAAATTGTTCTTCGCAACAGAAATTCACCGTATCCAAGATCACCTTAAATGGTCTGCACAGTATATTTCAAACAATAAATTATGCAATTTTTCCCCTCATAATTCAGATGCTTATTACTCTGTTATTATTCATTTTTACCGCAGCTGCTGAGTATAGCCATGATAATATGTGGCATTATTGTGGTTGCTGGAAAAGACATCTATAACAGCCTCTTGGACAAGTTTAGAACGACTCTGGAAGAAGCGCTGAATAACATTGGTAAGAAAAAAAAAACAGTACAGGTAAGGTTAAAATCATTGGTAAAGATAAAATCTTGGGTAGGGATATTACCATGAGTAGGAGTGATACAGTAGGTAAGGATATTACCATCTGCAACATCTGCAACAATCTCCTAGAGAGTTTGAGAGAGACCATGAAAGAAAGAGACTCCTAAAAACATTGATGATAAGAAAAAAGAGGTAAGAATAATATCACTGGTAAAGATAAAATCATAGGTAAGTGTAATACCATCTATCAGAACTTTCTGGACAAGTTTAAAGATACTCTGTTAGATGTGCTAACACAAAAAAATTATATGAAGAAAGTAGAGGTAAGGGTAATTCTATGGCAGAGGATAACAAAGGGTCATAAATGTTCAATTTTCATAAATTTGTTAGACCGCAGCATAACAAACTATGATGATTTATGCCCTCACACAACACTTTTATTTTGTGTAAAATCTTGAAATTGCTGTATATCCAATTTATAATCTGGGACCAACCAGTGAGCGGTTAGTTAGTCTTTCCTCTTGAGCGTAGGGCGGCATATAAAGCAAAGGTAATAGCTCTCCATGTCTGGCGCTTCGTTGCCACCTGTTTTACGTCTTGTGTGTTTGTATGCCCATGGTTGAACCTTCCCTGATAATAGTTCTACTCAAGGTTTCTTTTGGTCTTCCCTGTTTTATTTTCCCTTGCAGTGTCCATATGAGGAACCAATTTTGAAGATGTCCTTGGAATTTAACAAGTTTGAAGTAAGCATCATATAACATTGAAAGCTAGAAATCTGATTCTAAAACCAAGGATGTTTTATGATGGCGGCTTGTCTGGTCGTGGATCAACAGTCTTAAACTCTGATGGAAAGTTCTGATTGTTCATCCACCTCTGGACCTGAGTCTTGTTCCAGAAGCTGAGTATTGCGTGCACATCCATTTTACAGATATGACTTATTTGTAAGCAAACTATTGGTTCCTTGCCTTTCAGGCAGATGTACTCCAACTTCAAAGGAAGACCTCAGTAAGTCGACTCTTGCTCCGTGTTTTGTTACGGAGGCAGTGGGTCTGCTTTTGTTTTGCCCCACAGTGGGGCCTTGAAACGCACACGGGGATCTGATAGTAATGAATACTTTCCTCTCCTACAAGCATGATGTAGAAAGTGATAAAGAAGCTCAAATGTTCATGGAATAGGGAACTCTTGTAGTGATCATTAGCCTCCAGCTATCTTCTTCTTCTTCTTTTGTTTGCTTGAAATAGATTATCTATATCTGCAGTGTTGTCTAGTATGAACTTCACTGTCTGTTGTAATTCAGTCAGCAACCCATAAAGTTTAGCTTGCACCTGTGTTTCTCTTGGCCAACAGTTTTCCTTGATATGTTGTACCTGGGACAGTCTTAGAGGATGTGATCTGTTGTCTCAAGTGCTATCCACATGTACACATGGCCGATTCACCAATCTCAAATTTTGTGCACATGTGGCTGTCAAGTCCATTGTGTCCTGTTGTCAGGCATCCTACACCTATGATTTAGTATTTTAACAATGTTTCAAGTCTAAAGGATTGAATTAATTCCCTTAAATTTACCCCATGCGGCTCCCTCTGTCTACACATAGCTTCTAGCACCCCTGCTGAGAGCGTCACATAAAGCATGATCTCTATAGCTCTAGTGAGGATCCCCTCAGATCTCAGTAAAAACTGCACTCACAAACCAATCAGACAGTGAAACAAACCCATGATCTTATAATGCGGATCAGATGGCTTATCCACTTAGTTACAAGACCCCACCTATTATTCTGTTATTATTTTCAAGAAATGTCAGAAATATTACTTTGATTTCAGGTGTCTCTGTGGATACAAGTAATTTGACCTTTACTGACATCATGCTGCCACTGGCTTATGGGGTTATAGCCCTTGGTGTGATCATGGGAGCCTTGGCTTTGCTGGGATGTATTGGTGGCTGTTACACTCTAAAACTTGTTCTTATTGTGGTGAGTCATCACGTGACTTCTACAAGAATATTGATTATTTTCTGATCATTTTTAGATTCAAGTCTTTTTGTTCCCTTCTGTAGGTTAACTCTTTTAATATCATCAGCAAGTGATGTTTAATTCATTCTTGCTTTTGAATCCCAGCCAATCTATAATGTGTTTCTTAAATTTTTGCACTTAGGGTATACTAAAGAAATCTGGTTTTTCATGTGATCACAAATCTAGCCCACTTTATGCAGACTTTTGGTTCTTTGTCTCTCAGACAGAGGCATTCCGACTTCTAAGGATGCCCCTAATTAGTCAACTCATAAGACCTGCCTATTGGGGAGGCAGTATGTCTGTTCTTTTTTCCCCACAGTGAGGTCCAGAACCCAAATGAGGAAGATTTCAAATAAAATACCATTCTTGTGTGGGTGTGGCTTCTGGGGACCTATTAAAGGGAAATCAAGAATAGACCAACTGTCTGCCTAAAAGCATGTTGTTAGAGTCAACTAATTGGGAACTTCCTTCAAAGTCGGTGTACATCTGCCTGAGAGGCAACTACAAATGAGTTAGATATGTAAAATGGATGCACACGCAGCACTCATGTTCTGGAACAGGACTGCAGTCCAGAAGTGGATCAGTAACCTGAACTTTCTGCCAGTTTACAGTTGGTGAACGCAAAGAAGAAGAAAAAGAAATGAAACAACAGACTATATGTACTGCAGTGTAGATGTTCCCATCTGCCAGGTTTAGACTACATATTGACCATATTATCTTTATTTACATCATTTTGAGGTTTTCAGCAAATTAGTCTACTTAAGGCATTTAGGAACCACCATTGTCTTTACAGTTAAAAAAGCTACAAATTTAGGATGCTGAATGAAATACCAGACTATTTGACATTGACACTACAGAGTAGATGTTCTCATCTGCCAGGTTTAGACTCATGTTGACCGTATTAGATTTTTTTTCACATCCATCTGTTTTCTGGACAGACACGTCTACCTGATGATGATGAGAATGATGAGTCTTTCCATTCAAAGGTGACTTAGGTGGATTAGGTTTTGTGAGTGTGCAAATAGCTGATAAGGCCAGTTCTACCTAATGAATGGAGGAACCACCAGTGTCTACACTGATAAAGCTGCACATTTATTATGCTGATAGACTGCAAGAGTCAGGAATAGGGGGCTCGCTTTCAAATCCAGCTGCGACTCCCTGCAGCCACCGTTGGTGTTCGAAACCAGGTGGTTCCCAGGGTTAACCCAGCCTCTAGGAAATGAGTACCAAAGTTGACACTCTGGGGTGAATGGAGGAACGTCGCTGTAGCTACGGAGGTACGTGCGGACGGTGACACAGGCAGTTTCTTATCAGCAGTCTGTACTGGTGGCAGAGAACTTATGGTTTATAACCATGTGCAGTGACGCTGGTTCACATCTCTCGACTTTACCTTTTTACCTTTAGAGTCAGGAACATATTAGGTTGGGTTGCAAGGAAAGCACGGCATCCAGGTGGCAGGGCTTAGACGGTATCAGCACTTTACTAGACCTCAACCTGGGAGAAGCAACAATACCAAAACTAGGTAACAGCAGCTGGGTCCTAACAGGAAGCCCATCAAAGTGAAAATTATTGTTTGTTTATCTGGGCTGCCAGGTCAATACAGCGTAGCCAAATTAAGGTAGTCAGTGTTATGAGGAACAGCTGGCAGAACGGTTAAGAAGGTGTGGTAAAAGAGCCAGGTTCCAATGCCTAGTAAGGTCATGAAATTATTTTTCCTGTTCAAGGGAGAAAACAAAATCGTAACCTGCACACTTAGTGGCAACAGCCCTAGCCATGCATCCATAAATCCTCAGGCTCAAAGACCACCCAGACTATAAACAAAAGTGGTAAATAAAAGCAGTTTTTTGCAGTGTAGAAGATGCTGGGATCAGCTGCTACTGCGGTATAAATATATGTGAAAATAGGACATAAATGGACAAGTATTGAGGTGGATTAATAGAAACAGGAAGCCATCCATGGACCATGTTGTTAGGAAGGCAAATAAACAGGAAGGGAATAGGGACAATAAATAACATGACTAGCTAATTTGAGAACTTAGCATCTCTGAGAAGAAGCACATGAAATACTTGTGATGGCTACAATATTTTTGAAGAAAACAAAAAAGATATTATTGTTGAATATTTTTCTGAAAGTAAGATGGGCTTTCTAGTATCTGGCAATGGCCTTTGGCTGTAATTTCCACTCCTCCTTCAGCACAACATAACACTATTGTCTGGAAAGGTAATTAATCTTAATCTTGTCATTAATTTTTGGCCAAAGAACTAAGTAATTGAAAGTAGGAACTTGTAAAATCAGAATGGGCTAAAGTACCTTTGCCCTTAACCGGAAGTGTTTAGTTATAATAACAGATTTATTAGGAAAAATGAACACCACAGTGACAGAGGCCAGGTGCTGGTCTGAAAGTCTTGACTTCAAATCTGCATCAGGTCAGATTTTTGTTTCCTTTAAAAATGGCCTTTGCTCCCAGGTTGATCCAGCTTGAAATAAGTGCCAGAAAAAGTCACTTAGCTAGTCAACCAAGAGATTATCTTCCTTAGCATCAAAGTCCATAAGCTTGTTGTGACTGACAACACAAGTTCTGCATTGCTTTACTATTCTTCTTTGGCTGTCTGTACAGTGTTCACGTCTAGTGACACCTGTTTTGACCTGAAGTTCTTGCAGTCTTTTGAGTGGCACTGACTCACTGTCATCTCCTTCATTCTCTATTCATAGTGATTCCATATAAGCATTTAGAATATTGGCCCAGTCCATTGCCTATCCTGTATCAAAAGTCCTGGGAAGTAAAGGTGGCCAGCATGATGTTGACCACATACCACATTGAGCGCCAGTTGGTCTACAAAAATATGAATCTGGCATCATATGCCATTGACAGAAGAAGGGCTCTTTACTTTTGTTCTTCCTTTAATTAGGAATAATGCATCTTATGAGTCAAACATTTTTAGTAAACAGAATGGTGGAATATTGTTACACTTGATGAAGATGGTGAATCTTCTTCTTAGCCTTCACCAGCTGTAAACTCAGTTGGAAAATTATGGATGTTCACCTGCTTGTGATTTTGTTCAAGAACCTGAGTTTTACATGCATATCCATTTTACAGATCTGGCTTATTTATGTGTAGACTATCAGTTCCTTGCCTTTCAGGCAGATGCATGCAAACTCAAAAGTAAGCATGCCTAGTTAGATGCCTTATACAACATGCTTGTTAGGGAAGAAGCAGGTCTATCCCCCCCCCCCCCCCCCCTCAAAAAAAAAAAATGGTGCCCCGGAACCCACATGGAGATAAAATGGTGTATAAGGCTAGCTGGAAAGTTTGAGAATCACTAATGTAAGGCATCCACATCCAGTAAAATTATAAAAAATCTCAATAATGTGTTAATTCCATTAGTTCTCAACTGAACTAGTTCAGCTGTTTATCCGTCTCCATGTTAAAATTGTGTTTCCCTTGCTCTCTGCATTTTAAAGAATTTGTTAAAATAACAAAAACATGATAACAGCTCTTTGTTTTATTATATAGAATTTTGCACGACTAATAGGTTATAAAATATACATAATTTACATACTAAACTTACTCCATAGGTCCTAAATTTGCGCGCAAAACCCCAGATAATTCGTGAAACAGAGAATCTCGCAACTCTAGTTAAATCTTGGACTAATTTGGTTTACTAGTGCAATGTTTTCTGAGATCTTTGGGAAACATTACTTGGGCTAAAACATGTATACTTTGTGAAACACTCTTGACACTCAGAAACACACTTTGCAGATAGAGACTGAGACAGATTTGATAAAACTAAGTGCAATGGAACTGATTCACTCATCCTTTTTTTTAAACTGGTTTATTGTTTGGATATTTTTTATTACAGAATGGATGCCTTGTGCCTTTTCAGCCATTTGTCATGAGTATATTAATTTGTTTTATCTGCAGTATGCTATTGTTTTACTGGCCTTCTTTCTAGTACAAGTGGCCATAGTAATTGTTGTGTACGCTGACAAATCCGCAGTAAGTCACATTATGTGTTCACATACCTAAGTATGTTTATATGTATATGTTTCTGTATTGTGTTCTAGATATCAAACCTTTCATAATTATACACAAATGTGTGTTTGCATGTGCATGTTTGTGACTTTCTTTAAGATAAATACTCACCCCTCTCTCTCTTCCCCCTCCCCCCCTCCCCCCCCAAAAAAACTTTTTTATTATTTATTTCTGTGTTGTTTAACTTTTATAAATGTGTGTATGTTATACTTCTTTATTGTGTTTGCTTGTGAATTGTCTTTTTATTCCCTCTCAGGCTTCATTTCACTACGTTTTTGATTTAAATGATTTGTCTTCCATTCTACATCTGTGTGGTAATTTCACATGCTTCTCTATTGTCTTCAATCCCACACTTCTGTGTTATTTTACATGTTTTGCTATTGATTTCAGTGTTTCTGTCTTCAGTCTCACACTTCTGTATTATTTTACATGTTTTTCTATTTATTTCAACTTTTCTGCCTTCTGTCTCACACTTTGTGCTATTTTACGTTTCTGTGATTGACTTCAAATGTGTCTTTCTTCAGTCTCATACTTCTGTGTTATTTCTCATGTTTCGCTATTGATTTCAAAGTTTCTATCTTCACATCTCACATTTCTGTTTTTTGTTACTTGTTTCACTATTGATTGCAATGTTTCTGTCTTGACATCTCAAATTTCTGTGTTATTTTACATGTTTCCCTATTTGTTTCAATTTTTCTGCCTTCAATCTCACACTTTTTGTGTTATTTTACATTTTGTGATTGACTTCAATATATCTTTCTTCAGTCTCACACTTCTGTGTTATTTCATGTTTCGCTATTGATTTCAATGTTTCTATCTTCAATCTCACACTTCTGTTTTTATTTTAACCTGCCCTGTCGATTTAAATGTTTCCATCTTCACAGCTCACATTTCTGTATTATTTTTTACATGTTTCACTATTGATTGCAATGTTTTTGTCTCGACATACTCAAATTTCTGTGTTATTTCACATGTTTTGCGCTTAATTTCAATTTCTGTCTTCCCATCACACATTTCTGTGTTATTTTACATATTTTGCAATTGATTACAATTTTTTTGTCTTTGCATCTCAAATTTCTGTTTTATTTTACGTTTCAATATTGATTAAAATGTTTCTGTCTTTGATTCTTACATTTCTGTTTAATTTTACATGTTTCCCTATTGATTTCTGTGATTCTGTGTTGAATTTTACATGTTCCACTATTTATTTTACCTGTTTCTGTTTTCACACCCTTACACTTTCCTGATTCTGTGTTAATTCCAGTTTGATGGCACTGTTAAGCCTAGGATTAAAGAGACACTTGACACATTTTCTGATGTTGAAGGCACAGATCCTAAGACTATGGTGTGGAATGCCATCATGGCCTATGTAAGTAATGTCGCTCTGATACGTTTATCCATTTGTTAGTAAATATTTGTTAGATAAAATAGATGAATATAATAATTAATTTCAATGAAATACTCAGTGGGTAAAGTCATATTGGGCATATAGGGCATATTGGGCTAGATCTATACCCCACATATGCCCCTAACCAACTCATGTCAAGTCATTCCATCTTTCGCTATCGCATGCAGCTGTGCCCATGTCTTCCCAATCATTTAAACTTCACTCACTATCTTCCTTGTCGATGCGTTTTTGGTCTTCCTTTATTTCTATACCTATGTGGGTTCCAGTGCAAAGACATTCTAGTTATATTGTTCTCAGATTTTCACAGCACATGTCCTATCCAATACCAGCATCTTTTCTTTCCCTCTTGGTCCACTGGAACTTGTTTGATTCTCTTTGAGTTGTTTGACAAATTAATTAACTGGGGGTAGAAGATACTCAACACTGACGGTGGTGGAAGGGGGGCATAGGTTGACTTTTAATCAGGCTGCGGCTGGTGCTATTAGCATGTCGACTTTCATTGGCTGCTGAAGAAGACAGGAGAGCATGTTGGGAAATGTCCCAAATGGAGTGATTGATTGATTGATTTGTTGTATGTTTGTGTTCACCTTTCAGGAAGGATGCTGCGGAGTAGACTCATATGAGGATTTCAAAAATCTAAAGCACTGGCCTCCACAGCAAATCAAGAATAAAACAGTACATCTCATAACTCCGGTCATGTGTTGCAAGGTAAAGTCTAACAACATCACTTGTGCAGAGCGCCCAGATGAAAGTACTAACTGGATGAACACAGTGAGTAAAAATTAGATAGTTCAATAATAATTGTAAGTGTTTGTTCAGGGTCTAAATTTAAACAGTATTGACTGTCCAGGATATGATTGCTGCAGTGATCCCTGTGGAACACAAAACCGAGGTCTAGTAATGTATGTCAGGCATGAGATCCAACATCGATCGCTAGGTACACAAAAGTATAACTGTGAAATGATTTGCTTGAGATTTAAGGATTATTTGTTCCCATAGACCACCACAACTGGTACATCTTCAACATATAAGTGCATGTGGATCAACTTCTGAATGGACGTGCATGGGAATTCCTTGCAGATTTGTAGGATTGTGATGCAAAATGTTTAATAGCTGGTGATTTTAGTGCTTTGTTAACAGAGGGGAAATCAGACAGAAAACAGACAGGGAGTTGCACTGAGTCAGGCCTTACTAAGCACAAGCTTCACTATTTTAAATGATGGTCGTGCCACAAGATTAGCAGAGAGAGCTGGAGGCTCGAATGGAGTTATTGACTTAGCTTTAGCGTCCAGTACTGATGCACACACGATGCGCTGGGATGTTATTGGGGTGCAAGAAAGTGATCATTTGCCATCCATGCGTTGTTCTCATCCCGAAGGGACAGACTGTTAAGCAGATGAACCAACGACACACGTTCAAATATAGGGCCAGTAAAGATCAGGCTGGGATATTGCAGTCATTGCATCAAACAGCCAGAAAAAATATATGAAAAACAACATTTGTGCAACCACCGTGGTGGAACAAACAGGTGGGAAGGGCATGGGAAGCAAAAACATTGGCTACGAATGCATGGCAGAAATTACGAAAACTAAGACCTGCAAATTTTGGAGATACTGAGCGAAAACAGTGGTAGATTAAAATCCTTCACTTGTCACGTGTCGACTGGGCTACTAGGTTGAAACAAGTTAGCATGTGATGGGTTCCCTAGGACTCAGTTGAACATTTGATTTCTCTTCTAAGTATCATTTAGGAAAGTATTTAATTTTCTGCACATTATAAACATAATAAAATGAATTTGGTTAAAATAATTACTGAGATCAGAATTTCCAAACTTTGCAGCATGAATTTCTTGCTTTCAACCATCATTTATTCAGACTGTATGAAGCAGTTATAGAATAAAGATTTAATTGTCTTATTATGAAATAGGCTTATTTGAAAAACAATAGTTTTCTTTTATAAGCTTGATATTGAAATATGAATGTAAAAAAAAAAAAAGTATTGTAAAATTCAGCTCTTATTTGTTCAAAATTAGTGTGGAAATTCTTATCAAGGACATTTTTATTGTAGAGGCTTGCTGAATCTAACAATTTTAGTTAATCTCTGAAATATACGGGAGCCATGGTGGTGTAGGGGCTAGATGATCCACCTGCCGGCCCAAAGATCTGGGGTTAGAATCTGCACTGAGTCAACTTTTTTCCCTCTGAAAATGACCATGGCTTCTAGGGGTACCTTGCTTAAAATGGGTACTAGGTACAGGTGGCAGGCATTGAGGGACAGTTGGTCTATCAAAATATGATCATCTACCTGATGTGTGATTGGCAGGGAAAAAGTCCTTTAACACCTGAACAATACAACATTCATTTTCAGTTTCTAAAAAAAAAATAGAGGATGTTAGACTGTGGCATCATGTAATAGATGAACATCTGCATCAGAAATGACTTACAGCACCAGTTATTCATTGTTCATTTAAAGATCACCTTCATCGGACATGATCATAAGGCCTCCGATCTTCTCCAAGTGCTTTTAGGCTAATAATTTCCATTCTTTTCTGGCTTATGTAACGACGGGTGGCTCCTGTATGGTTTTCACTTCTGGCCGCTCCATTTGGTACAACCCATGGTATACAGTCTGTTAAGTGCAAAATCATTTTCCACAGCGTTTAGTCTCTCATATGATATTGATAATATCTCTCCTGTCCATAGATGGCCCATTCCTGATAGTTGCACTGCCAGCCAGGGTGTGTGCTTTCTCGTAGCCTTTCACACCAGCATGCCCTCTCAGACTTAAAAAAAAAGGTGTTTTTGTGAAACACTACATGCTGAATCAGATGAAGCCACTGTTATTGTATATGCCCCGCCTTGATCACAGAACCTAAGTCAGATGGAGTTGTGGTAGTGTAGTGGCTAGATGCTTCCTTGCCAGCTTAAAGGTCAAGAGTTCAAATCTGGATCACAGCAGGCTTTTTTGGGTCAACTTTGACCTTGGCTCTTAAGTCGGCCTATACTATCCTTTAACAAAATGTGTAACAGGCACAGTTTTGGGGAGTAAAGGTGGCCAGTGTGATGTTGGTGTTGCATCAGTCATTGAGCCTAATGTGCCAAAGGCATGTAAAGGGTTATTTATACATTTACTTTGATTACTTGCTTTACTGAAGTCTAAAGAGATGAACAGTTGTGCAAATATGGCTGCAGTCACCCCATCAGATGTACTATGGAGTATGACTTAAAAAGAATATTGTTCTTTTATGAGCTGTTATGCTTCCTTATATGTTAATGTAACTCTGTAGTAATGCACCTGGCGAGATACAGCTAAATATGCCTGGCACTTCTTCTCTTCTTCTTCGCGTTCACCAGCTGTACACTCTGGCGGAAAGTTCTGGTTGCTTGTCTACTACTGAACTGTAGTCCTGCTCCAGAACCTGAGTGTTGCGTGTGCATCAGTTTTACAGATCTCATTCTCTTGAATACAGACTGTTGGTTCCTTGCCTCTCTGGCAGATGCACTCTGACTTCAAAGGAAGCCCCCCAATTAGTCGACTCTTACGACATGCTTTTGGGGAGGCAGTGGGTCTATTCTTGTTTTCCCCACAATGGGGCCCCGGAACCCACACAGGGGTGCCTGGCACTAAGTTGTGCAGTGTATTGTTTGTGTCCTCATTATTTGAATTCATTACAAGAAAACATTGTTTTTAAAAAAGAAGATGTGGGATGAGCAGATTAAGAATGGATAACTTTTTTCCTGCAATTACTAAAATGTCTACAATTACTTCCCAATATTTAGTACAACCAAAAGAGATGCAGCTTTAGTACAAACTTCTGAGAACAATGTTATGTCAATCTTTGGATACATCAAAGATGCAAATAGTGGATCATGGAGAGTGAGAAGCAGCAATGAAATTCATAATCTGTTAAGCCACCACTAACTACAACAACATGAGGATTGACAGACTGCAATGATTTTGGTATATATAGAGACCGGTATATAAAAAAAGAGGCAAAAACTTGGCCAAATAAAAAAAAAACTGAATGGGAGTAGACCAAGAGGCAGAGCAAAAATACAGTGCATGAATAATATATAGGAAGACCTACAAACACTTGGAGTTACCAAATGAAGGATGGGCAATCACAGAAATGAACTGAGATGGGTGGTATATGCAATATGAACCTTAAGGGCTCAGAATGCTGAAAAAGAAAAAAACTTCTCAGTTCTTAGTTTTGGTCTATTATATTTGAGCAGTGTCAATGTACCAAATGTTGTAAAGGATTGGAGGAGCCATGATAGCTAATGTCTGTTTTAGACAAGACACTTAAAGTGTCTACACCTATGAGACACATGCTTCTTCTTCTTTTTCTTCTTCTTTTGTCAGTATCTGCTTATGCCACTAGGTGTCACAGATTATCAGACGATCTGCAACTGAGCTAGGGCGTGCTCGATTTCTTGAAATGCTATGATGTTTACAGTCCAAGGTGCCAGTGACTCCTTCAGTCCATCTTCTTCTTGGTCTTTACCTGCCTGTTGGTGTTTGGATTTTCTGATTGTAGGCTCTTGCTGCTGGCATCAAGGATTTTATTCTCATTTGATGGCCAAACCATTTCATTCTTTGCTTATCAATAAATTTGATGATGGGTGTTGTTCTAACAGTTCTTGTGATTATGTTGTTTCTCACTCGATCTCTTGTGGTTTTATACACAGTCATTCTCAAACATCTCATCTCACAGGTTATTAGTTTTCTCTCATGCTGTCATGCTTGCTGCTTCAAAATAACTTGTGTATACTAATAATTTGTTTGCACATATGAAACCTCATTAGACAGTTTCCTTTCTTCTTTCCACTTCCATGTGATGACATTTAAGTGCATTGTTGTCTGAACTGCAACACACATTACTTTGTCAGTTCATTGAATACACATCTGAAATGGCACGCAGGAGGAAACACATATAACTGTAATAATAATATTTCACTAATTATTATTTGTTATGTTTTACAGTCCTTCAAAATCATATTGTCTAAGTATTGATGTTTCTGTTATTTTCAGGGTTGCTATGACAAACTCTTTGATCTCATCGTAAGCAACTCATTTGTTATCACAATTATTGCCTTTTTATTTGCTTTCCAGGTAGGTTGTTTTTAAATGTATATACCTGTTTCTTTTATCAGTGTTACCCAAAAAGAATAAGCTTTTCATCATTAAATTCATTAGTTTAATTGTGCTGTGTAGAATCTTGACATGGTTACATCAAAAAATGTCTTGCCATAGATGGGAAGTTTTAGTATAGGTTTTGCACATCCCTCTCAGATCTAACTTTGAAGAAATAAATAACAAACTTCCTGTCAGTATCATACTGGGTTGGGAGAAACATCTCTACCCAACCTCACTGATAGAAGCAAAGCATTTTCATGGTTCAGATTACCTAAATGCTAATGCATCTGACATAATTTTTGAAACTCAATCTTTCAGAAAATTATCATTTTATCTGTAATAAATACAAGTGCCCTTGGCATACCAGCTACATACATAAGGGGGAAAAAAGGGGGGGGGGGCAGGCATAGAAAAGGTCTTCTAGTTAGTTAGTTGCGTATCCTTTACAGGACGTTGCAGAACCAACCCTAACAGCCCCTGGCTGTTGTGTGGTTTCTCTAGGCAATTTACATCCAGTAGTTTGCCATTGCTTTCTGGACGGTCGGCTTTCTTGATACCACTGTTGAAACCATTGCAAGGCGCATTGCCCGCAGCTGGGATCGAACCTAGTATCCCGGCATTACGAAGCAAAGCGTTCGCATAACTTAGCCACAGAGCCGACGGTCTTCTAGTACACAATTAAAAAAAAAAAAAAGTTGTGAAGCACGTTGACTTGGGCCAATGGAATCACAGTGTAAGAAAGATGCACAATAATGGTGGCCTGCTTGTATTGATTGATTGTTTACACAGTTATGGACTTTTATGTAACAAATGAACACTGGCTCAAGGATCTGGAAGAAATCCCTGGTAATAAGCTGCTTATTTGTGGCTATTTCAGTGCAGGAACAGAGCTAGGGACAGCACTGGGGAAAACAGACAAAGAAGTGCCCTGTTGAAGCTATAGTGGATGCAAAAGTGGTCTATATAAATGAGGATAGGCCTAGTAGAATGGCACTGAGAGCTGGACATGCAGCTCTAACCACTGACCTGGCTTTTGTTACCATCAGTAGTACTTGACACAAAATGGACTGCTCTAGAGGATCATTGGTGTAACCATCTATAGTGCTGACTCTTGATTTCGAAAGCAAGCAAGAGTAAGGTTGAGAACACCTAAAGCTTTTTAAGCACAAGTAGACCAACATGCTTCTTGGATTCTTCTGGCAACAGAACCACCAGCTCTACCTATGTACAAGCTGAAGTGGAACAGGCATGGACATTAACTCTTTGAGTCCCAAGGAACGCATCATACGTTTATAGGTTCCTACCTAGAAGCCCAATGAACGCATGATGCGCTGATTTTATTACTTTCTTCACTACCCCCTGGGGCTGTGATGCTAAACCCCCTGGGACTCAATGAGTTAAAGAGAGCTGCAGTTAAAACAATTACAGACAGTGTAGCAGATATCCCAAAGGTCACTATAGGAAGAAGTAGAGAAGGCAGAAAGAGTTAGAAATCAGAAAACAAATAATAAGAGTGCTCTTAAGCAGATGACCAACAACAAAAAAACCTGAATTGAAAAATGTTATGAGTAAACTTGGAGGGGAAAAGTCACTGGGAAAGAAAAGATCAGCCTACCACAACAAGCACAATTTATGGAGATAATGGTATGCTCATGACAACAGACAAAGATAAAGGGGGAGCACTTCTGCCAAGATTTATGCCACAGACAGATGATAAGGATAGAGAAATGAGAGATGCAGTTAGAGGAAATTTGCCAAGTTCTATAAATGAAAAATACCATAAAGATATTAAGCTGGAGGAAATAAGAAATATACTGCAACAAATAAAGGACACCTCATGGGGCCAGATAGTCAGGTACGTGAAGGATGAGAGTGTGAAGACCTAAGGGGAATGTGTTTTTTTAAATTTGTTCCAAGCATCATAAAAGCATCAGTACCACAGGATTGGGTCAGTCACAACTATTTTACTTCATTCTCAAAACCATGCTAAGATCATTTGGTTAGGGTTAGAGGAGACTGAACAGTGTTAACTGTATCACCTTACAGACTACTTTTGGCATTGTGGTGGAGAGGATCATGGCTCTTAAAAGGCATACATTTTTGAAAAGGGAAGAGCAACTATAACAGTTTTTAGACAATTATTGAACTGGGTAGATAAAGCTGGTCGAATGTGGCCACATTTGTTTTTGAGGTTTGTAAGGGGTTCCAGGTTAGACACGAGAGGGTATTGGCAGCACTTGATGATGCTTACAACAGAGTCAGATATTATATTTTGATGTCTGCACTCATGGAGGTAGGATTGTCCATTGCTAGTTAACTGGATAACATCTGTCCATTACTTTCATATGGTTACTCTTCGTTTGGGTACATGAATATCTGAGCCATGCAGTATCACCCCAGAACTAACACAGGGATCTGCAATTTCAGCATTTTTCTTTAATTTGTATGCGAGCAAGATTGCAGAACTTTAAACACCTGGTGTCAGAAGGATGCTGACACTTACTGATGATGGTCTTGCATATAGCAGGGAAGAAATAGGCAATAAACAGTTCGCTACACTGGATAAGTTGACTGGTTGGTGTATGGAGAAGTGTATTGTAATCAACCTGGAAAAGGCAGCCATTTTATGGTGCCCTCTGGACAAAAGCATCGTTGTAGGCGTTGTCCCAAGCCTCACATTAAATGATAGAAACATCAAAAGATAAATCAAACTGAGGTACCTGGGTATCACCTTTGATAGAAGACTGATTTACAGGACCATGTGGAGACAGCTGCAGCAAAATGTCAAAAAAGGCTTCGTGCACTGAAAGTTATGGCAGCAGTGGAAATGGAACAAAGACAGCTTTTAGCCATGTACCAGCATTTAATCATCTTTCTAAAGGATTACCCCTTGTAAAATGCTGGTGTGTTGGGAAATCAACAGGCGGACAGACTTGCTGGCTCTGTACAACTTGGTGGAATACTGATGCATGATAAGGCAGACATGGTTAGTGCCTTGTGAGAGAGTGTGTACAGTTCGGCTGAGCAGATGGATCTCCACAATCTGGTGAGATTGATGCATGGGGGAGACAAGAGGTTCTGGCAGATGCTTGAGGCTCAGAGGAAAGACAAGATGGACATTTAATCAGAATGCTACTGGCACCATTAGTGTAAAAACTCTTCGCTGGCTGCTAAAGATGGGTACGGAGCGCTTATGAGAATGCCCGAGTGCTGTGATGTCGGTTCTTGAATCAACTTAACTCAACTCAGCTCTATTGGATTATGGACTGGGACTGGAAACTATATCAAAGACACCTGGTGAAACTTGAATGCGTAGAGAATAAAGCCATGTGGGTGATTATGGGGTGTGCAAGAGATACCCCAATAGAATGTACACTTCCTTGCATTGTGAATTATTGCAGACAGGCTTAGAGTGATAAAAGTGAAGTCATACCTCAAAATAGCCGTAGACTGGATCAAGACTAGCTCTAGTTGACCTGCCATGCTGCTGACATCACCAGACCGGGCTAACGATATGTTGACGCAGCGATTCTCAAACTGGGTGACACAAGCGTATGTCAGGGGTGCAGCAGCAGTAATCAAGAATTTTTCTAAATCTGTGTGACATTAAATGTGCGCTGTTTTTTCTTCTTTTCTTAAATATTCAAACCGCTTCAAGGATAGATGGGCCGCAAATTTTGTTGTTGTTGTTACCTGATGAAAAAAAGCATGAAAAATGCTTTGTTGGCGTATCGTTTACCCAGTTTGGTGACGTCAGCAGCATTGCCTGTCAGCTGGAGCTTATCTTGACAGGATCCACATCCTCTGTTAAGCTTTGGCCAAAGCTTAGGGCCATAGGCTGTTAACAGAAAAGTTTTGGATGGTACAAGCAAAAGGCACGGTTAGAGATGTGTGTAGGTTTGAAAGCATTAGGGAAGAAGATGAGAGGGTCAGGGTGTCAGAGCTAAAATAAGACTTGTAAAGGGTTCAGATTACGTTGGGTTAAAGTGCAGAAAGGGGCTAGCAGGCACTGTAGAATTAGATTTCAGCAACTGAACCATGATTGTTCCCATCCAGGTGATAAATTATCTATACAGATGGCCCTTTGTTGAAAGGCAGGGGAAGTGTCTAGGGGGTTCACTGCAACAGCGAGTGGGTAGAGGTACAAAAAAGCCTAGGATATGACACCACAACATCCGGTTTAAGAATGGAGATGGAGTCAGTTACAACAACTTTCTGCTGGATTGAGAACTGGCTGGACACACATTTTGTGATTCTAACATATCACAAAGAATGCTTAGAAAGGTGGAGAAAGGCAATTTTCCATACAGCGTGACTAGTGCTGCTTTCAGACTTCTGTAATTAGCATGCTTTGGATTTCTTCTCTGGGGAATTCAGATGGGTTGAGTAATGAAAAGCCAGACAGATTTGCTGGTGCTACACTACTGGGTGGTGAAATGATGCATAATAAGCTAGATCAAGTGCTTTGGGAGCAAGTGAACAATGAGAAAGTGCGAGTAGGTCATTACGCTTAGGAGATAATGATGCAGTAGGAAGTGACCAGGGGATGTGGCTGACACTCTACACTTAGAGTAAAGGTGAGATGGACATATAATCAGACTACAGCTAATGCTGTCAGCATTGGAACTGTTCACTTCACTGTTTGTTGAAGATGAGGACAGAGCACATATGGGTTTGTCCCAAGGGCTGTGATGTCAGTTCTTAGTTCATCTAAAAAATGATGACCATTTAACTCTGTCATTTCTAGTTCAGACATTACATCCTTTGCAAAATGCACTCACAATAGATTGCAGTCTATATGAGGGCAGTACTCATACAATTTGACTTTTCCTACCCATTTAACCTAAAGTGGCATCCCCTAAATAGCTCAGCTACATTTAAAAACTAAAACCCTGTGCCCCATTTATTCTTCAAAAGCAACATTGCACAGAATGAAGAATATTTTATGCAATATATCTTTGGAAGTTGAGGCTACAGGGAGCTTTTATGAGCCATAAAGATTCAGTCCAGATTTTCATAGTCTGTTTTGACCAAATGCATACTGTTTGGGAGCTTACCAATGACATTGATAAAAATAAACCAAAATGATAAGTAGAACTACTTAGCTTCCCAATAAAACACAATCACACATGATGAAATGTAATGGATGGAATTCATGGGGTTAGGACATCCGAGGCCATTACACTACATGGAACTGAAAAGGTTAGAAACGTGCAGCATGTGTAGAGTAACCCAGTAAACACATGGAAAAAGGTTAACACATTTTTGATTGAAAATTCTAACATATATTGTATCTATAGTTCTTCCTGATATACATTCACATGACCATTCAAATTATGTATTTTACTATTTTGTGTTTGCTTATTGTAAGCAAGATGTGCTTTCTGTATAAAGTAATATTACTCATTAGCATTCTTGTTATCTTTTCATCCACAGTTTATCGTTATATTCTTCACCATCTGGATACTGTGTACCATGGATAACAAGATAGATATTATATAGTATTTTTGTATTTAAGCATTTATTTTGTAAACAGTCAATAATTTTGCTTGAAGACTGTTTTGTGTTCACAAAGTTCAGAAAATTTGATTTATAATTTATGAGAAAAGAAATAAACAGCACAAAAGAGAAATAAAATAATAATTACCATTTGTTTCCCTTAAAAGTTGGAATAAAACAGAGAGAGAGAGAGAGAGAGAGAGAGAGAGAGAGAGAGAGAGAGAGAGAGAGAGAGAGAGAGAGAGAGAGAGAGAAGGGGGGTGGAGAGAGAGAGAGAAAATCATTGAAGGGGGGGGGGAGGGGTGGAGAGAGAGAGAGAGAGAGAGAGAGAGAGAGAGAGAGAGAGAGAGAGAGAGAGAGAGAAGGGGGGTGGAGAGAGAGAGAGAGAGAGAGAGAAAATCATTGAAGGGGGGGGGGGGAGGGGTGGAGAGAGAGAGAGAGAGAGAGAGAGAGAGAGAGAGAGAGAGAGAGAGAGAGAGAGAGAGAGAGAGAGAGAGAAAATCATTAACTTTTTAGAAGCAGTTTCTAAGAAATTATGAGTATTCATTTTTGATGTTTTTGTCCCTACTGTATGAAAATATAAATTTATAGAGTACTGAGACAAAATGTATAAATCTCATTTGTCCGCACAGGTTATTTAATGACTTTAAATTAAAGTTTATAATTGCTTTTTATTTTTTGATCAAAATTTTAAAAATTAAATGGTAATGTTATATTTTAGGCCAATTAGATCATGAAACTAAAAAAAAAAAAACCTAAAAAAAGGTGTTAAGACTGTTTCAGTAAATATATCTATTGAAAATATGTTTATTTATTGCAGCTTGACGTTGCTATATTTATTGTTTTAAAAAAAAAAACGTTTAGCTATAAATAAAAGACAAACATGATTACCAATTTTGTTTCTTTTGTACGTAAAAAAAAAAAAAACTATTTAACAATTTTTTTTCATCATCTCATTACTGCTTTATCAATGTACATATTTGAATATTATTACTTTTTTGGTCCATCATTATTTTAATAATAATATCAAAGCTACATAACATTTATTTTGTGGAAATGGAAGTATTTTAGCTGACTTAGTTACTTGAAAGAATCAATTTTTAGATCACAAACCAATAGACCCCCTTCCCCTAAAAGTTTAATTTCATTTTCTAAGTCAAGTAATTTATAATGAGCATTTTCAATTGTAATTTTTTTTATTACTCCCTCTCTTTCTCTCTGTTCCTCTCCTCCCCTCTCTTTCTCTCTCTCTCTCTCACACACACACACACACATACACGCATGCACGTGCAAACATGCATGCACGCACGTGCATACATGCATGCACGCACACATGCACACACACGCACACACACACATGTACACACACACACACATGCACGCACACACACACACAACACACTTTGTCATTTCAGTACTGGTTGTGCTTTTGGTGGGTGTGTGTGTGTGTGTGTGTGTGTGTGCGTGCGTGCGTGCATGTGTGTTTAAGCGTGTGCCTAAGAATTCTTTCATTATAATATTTCTTCTCTGCATATCACATTCTAAATCCTTTCTATACTAGAATTTTCAAATGGACATCTTCATGTTTTTGTTGTTTATTAGGCAAGTGAAAATAAACAGCTGTTTAATAAATGTAATGAAAATGTAAGAAGTTATTTTAGTAGTCAGATTTTTTTAGCCTGAGCTGGCAAAGGTAAGAATAAGACGATGTATAATGTGATGTTTGCACCAGATGGGGTAAAGTTATTTGTTACTGAAACAATTGATTCTGGGTAGTCTTTAGTTTTTAAGAGTATTTTTCAGTTATTGTACCAGTTTATATAATTTATTATTTTCATAACATCTCTAATTTTCTGTTTACTCAAAATGTAAATGTTTCTATCTTCATCTTTGTTTGCCCTTGAATGAGCAATTGGTGCATTGTGTTGTGGTTTACCGCTAGGCTGTGAAAAATGCACTTTTCAGGCCAGCACATCTGATTTAAGCAAATCCCTAATTAGTAAACTTTTACTACATGTTTAAGCAGTGAGTCTTTTCTTCAAGGCCCCCCCCCCCCCCCCCCCCCCCCCCCCCCCCCCTTTCCCTCCCCCACTTCAAAGGTCACCCACACCCGTTTCCTCATCCATTAGCACCCTGATGAAACCATACAGGAAATTTATATGTATGAATACATAATAATTAACAAGAAGCACATATAGGGATAGCCATATGCATTGAAAGTGATCCTTGAACAAATGTGCATGTATATGAATGTACATATATGTGTAGAATATGTGTTTATGAATATATATGTATGTTGTGTATTTTTATCTTCAGGTGCCTTAACAACTATTGAGCACAATAATACTTCTCCACATCTTGCCAGATTTTAGTAAAATGCTTTAGCTCATGTACTGAATTATTTTTCTTGAAGCCATGAATGAACAGTTATTTAAAGAAAGTTTCTCTTAATTCCTCTGACATTTCTCTGTTCTTCTACATCTATATCCTTCTATGACCCTCTGTCCTCCATATATCTCTGCCTCTCATTGTCTCTAATATTTCTCCCTGTCCATACATCTTTCTGTTTGTTACATGACAACAAATTATCATTGCTTTTTTTTATGTTAGTGATGTTTTCTGTGTGTCTGATCCCTTGACAGCAGTTAGATTACTCATGTTGGCATTTTAAGGTCATTTCTGTATTTTTCTGTAAAACTACCTTTTAAATGCTTCAAGAGATTCTTTTTTTTTTTTTCTTCTCTGCTAGCTGTCCTTAACTCTCGACCCCATTTGATAAATATGTTTCTATGTAGTTGCAGAATTATTTATCTAACTACAGAAATAAACATTTGTTACATAAAATACATTTTGTTTGATAGAATACAATATTTTCTTATCCTTTTATTTTTATTTTTTTTGTGTGGAAATATCTGTGGTTTATCTCCAATCTCCAATTTGATGTTAACTATGTTCCCCAAATTGATACTGTTGATACTACTGACTTTAGTTGTAAAATTAGAGGTCTCCATGGCTGAGTAATTAACCACTTGCCTCATACTCTCAAGGTAATAAGTTTGTTTCATGGACTGTGTTGTTTTGCGAGTGTCAATTTTATGGAGATCCCTGGCAATGGTTGCTGGAGCTATAAAGTTTTGCTTTGTGCAGACATCTGACCATTCTACTGAGGGAGACTGAGCATTATGGGACAAAGCCTTGTACAATGAAGCCGCTCCTCATGATTTTACATCTTCTAATTGTATATTTTGACAAAATACATTTCTTTGAGATTACTATTACTTATGTCTTCTTTTTCAAGCTGCAACTCTCGTTTCTTACACAATTTCATTTTAGATACTAAGTTAAATAGTGATTGCATCAATCAAGATTTCAAAACTATTCATTCTTAGTTTGCTTGTGTTAAAACATTTGTTTTAATTATACTAATAGAGCTTCGTAATTAAACTGTTTGTTCTTTGTATACTTTTTGTTTGTTGTAAAGCAGTAATGCATATCTAAACATACAAATAAGCTTTTTTTTTCCCAAAATTAAATTGTCAAAATCTGCAATCTGTTTCTCATTTTATTGAATGTGATTTATATAGTTCTAGATTTAATTGCCCGGGTTTGCTCGGGAAAGGCGAAAGAGTCTTATTATCCCATTCTCTACCTCATCTTAGTCTCCACCACTGCCGTATCTTTAGTCATTGCCCCTAAGTGTACTCAAGGCATCCTCTGTAATACCAGTATTCAACAACTGGATAGACAGACATGTGTATTGTCACAGACACATATAGATATGTTTTTCAAAAAAAAAAAAAAAAAACGTGAAAAATAGTTTTTAAAATTTTTTAAAGTGAAGTAATAGGAAAATAATATTCAAAGGGATATTAACAGATTCATCCCCAGTCATAGAATTTTTAATATAGCTTGGGAAGAAAGAAAAGTCCTAGCTGAGTGGCAACAGGCACTAATAGTACCATTATGGAAAAAGAAAGGTAATAGGAAAGAATGTGAAGCATACAGAGGTATATCACTACTGAGTCATGTAGGAAAAATGTACGCCAAATTACTAGAACAGAGTTAGACCCATAGCTGAATGACAGCTGAGTGCGTCACAATTTTGTTTCAGAAAAGGCAGAGGATGCACAGATGCATTATTCACTCTGAGGCAAGTGTGTGAGAAAGCCATTGAGTATAATATCAAACAGAATATTGGTTTGTAGATCAGGAAAAGGCTTTTTATAGAGTGGAAAGAAACAAACTGTGGTCTGTTCTTGAAAACTACGGGGTACAAGAACAGTTACTAGAGAACATCATAGCCATGTACCACACAAGTCAAAGTGCAATAAGAGCACAAGAAGGCATATCAGATATGTTCACAGTCAACACAGGTGTGAGACAGGGATGTGTGCTCTCCCTGCTTTTATTTAAAATCTGCCCCACTACACACTACACATACAGCTGAATGGTTCTGCTCTGAATCAAGTTAGGGAGTTTAAATATCTAGGAAGTATGATCACAGAAGATGGTAGAATTGACAGAGGAATAGAAACCAGATGTCAGAAAGCAAGTGCACTTATATACCAATTGTCACCATTATTAAGACATCCAAGCATAACTATGAGTGCAGAAAGACAGATTATTAACAGCATATTCATTCCAACATTAAGTTACCAGTGCCAAACATGGACACTATCTACAGCCCATATATGCAAAACCACCACCTGCGAGATAAGGTGCCTGAGAAAAGCAGCCAACCTAAGCATCTGAGATCGAGTGAATAATGAAACTATCAGGCAAATTGTGGGAACGACACCTTGTTCTAGATTCATCGAAAAACATCAGATCAAGTGGTTTGACCATCTCGTTAGAATGCAGCAAGATTAAATACCATCACAAGCCCTATATCTCAGAAGAACAGCTACAAGAGCAAGAGGACGGCCGCAGCAAACATGGATCGACAACATTCAAGACACTCTATGTCTTCACGGCATGACAATAGCCAATGGTAGCCAACGTGC